GATCTACAGTGTCATTGCCAGTAAATATTTTCCCTCCCTGCCTTCCTTCCTTTCTTCCTTCCTTCTTTCCTTCTTCCCTCCTTCTTTCTGTTTTTTTTTTTCTTTTTAAAGAATAAATTACTATCTGTATTTAATAACAAGTTACTCTGAAGTTGATAAACTTTATATTTTAGTGAGTACTATGTACATTGTTCAACTTTGCTTAATAATTTCTTGTGCTTTTGGGTGATTTTGCTATCAGGGCAGCACTTGCTTCATAAAATAAATTGGGATGCGTCTCCTGTTTTTTGTAAGAGATTGTTTAGAATTGATATTAATATTTTTAAAAATATATGAATTCTCCAATGAAATTATCTGGGCCTGGAAACCTTGGAAGTTTTAAAAATTATGATTTCTATTTCCTCAATAACTATAGGTGCTGTTCAAATGACCTGTTTCGTGTTGGGTGAGTTATGGTAGTTTGTGCTTTTCATCTAATTTGTCAAATGTATGTGTATAGAGTGTTTTGTAGAATTCCCTCCCTGATTATCCTTTTAATATGCAAAGATCTGAGGTAAGATACTCTGTTTCTTTCCTGATGTTTGTAATTTGTGTTTTTTTTTTTCTTTGCCAGACTTCCTGGTTGATTGTGAATTTTATTTTATTTTTTTTCAAAGAACGTTGTGCTTTTCATCTAATTTGTCAAATGTATGTGTATAGAGTGTTTTGTAGAATTCCCTCCCTGATTATCCTTTTAATATGCAAAGATCTGAGGTAAGATACTCTGTTTCTTTCCTGATGTTTGTAATTTGTGTTTTTTTTTTTCTTTGCCAGACTTCCTGGTTGATTGTGAATTTTATTTTATTCTTTTTCAAAGAACAAGCTTTTTGTTTCATTGATTTTTTTCTATTCCTTTTCTGTTTTCAATTTCATGGATTTCTGTTCTCATCTTTACTATTTCCTTACTACCGTTGCTTTGGCTTTATTTTGCTCTACTTTTTCTAGATTCTTGGGGTGGGATTATTGATAACCTGTCATTTTCAGCAATAAGAACCTGAATGGAAAGGACATTTGGCATTACCTACTTTCCCACAGCAAACACAGTCAACCCCACGGTAATTTTATGATTTGCGTAATAATTTTCCAATACTTCTTCTTTGTAAGTGCCGAGCCACACAATTGGAGCTGACCAGTTGGTAGTTGCATTCATGGATGCTCTGTAAGAAAGACATAAAAATTATGAACACCTTTTGATACGACTGCTATAGATAATACTTATGTAAAAGAAACTATCTGATTGTAGCATTTCTGCATTTCCTTACTCCTAACTCTAAGCCTTGACTGTTATGATAAACTGGAGAAAACAGTTTATCAGAAATGGTCGAATCATTACAAAAGTACACTTACAATTAGTTATACTGTGATTCCAAGATCTTTGAGGACACGTAGTTGAGAAATGTCCAAAGTCTAAGGTAACAAATTCTCCTTGAATTACGAAGATATGCCTTACTTGTCTTAGTGGGGCTCTGTGTTAAGTTATTAAGCTATTATCTTTCATAACTAAACACACCACACCATACTCTGCTTTATTATGCACGGGCAAAGTACATTCCTCCTTTGCCAGCAGGCACCCTGTTAGGCTCTGCTAATAGAGGACACTGGAGGACAATGGCAAGGCTGGAGGAGGAAGGAACTCGCTCTTTCCTGTTTCCTGTGGGCTTCTGGTCTGCGTCTACAGGCTGTTCTCGCGCGTCCCATTCCAGCAATGCGTCTTTACCACAGCAATAGCAATTCCCTTCCAGAGCAGCCATTGAATCCAGCTTTTAGTTTTTCCAACACTTGCAAAACCAGTCTCTCTGTGCTCCTTAGAGGTCTGGTTCCCCACCCCAAAAGGCCTCCATAGAGCTCAGAGACACCAATACTAGGTGAGTGGCTTCAGACCTTAAGCTCCCAGAGCTGCTTTAAGTTTCTAAGGTTTAATAATTTCAGCCTCTTCCTTTTGTTTCTTCAGCCCTAGGAGAAATCGTTACTTCTTGTAGTTGTTCCTTCCATAACACCTAGAGTTCCCTTTTCAGTCTTTCAAGTTACCTAGTTAACAACTTTATACTAGGTAACAATTCTTTATATTAAATTCTCTGTTTAAATGATTGGTGTGCTTTCTGTGTCCTGATTAGATCTAATAAATGTTATGGTATTATGGGAGGATATTATTATTCAATAACAATCTTAAATGCCTGTCTCCTTTCAAATATTAATAAGGAGAAGCCTTAAATCCTATAGCATCAGGGTGAACAATAGATGGGCAGAATAAGAAGATGGAGACAGAGAGGCCAGAGGAAAGCTGTTGTATTAAAACATGAATTGCCCAGATAGTCCATCTATATCTGATTTAGGCTTTGGTTCTTCTCATTGGTGAAATGAGGATCGAATGATCTCAAATACACCCTTACACTTACACCTGCCATCATTCTAGGACCTGTGAGTTTCTGTTATCTACACACTCATTCATGGAGGTTATGTGAGTCCTAATGTTCATTCCCAATAGGTCTCAGCCACTGCTTATTTCTTAAAACAGAATCAAAGATCCATCTGCTCTCCAGCATTTGGAAGGCCAGTCGTGGTATTGCTGCCATCTGGTCATTTCTGCTTAGCAATCTGTGGATTAGTTTCGCATGTTAGATTTGGAATTCTTACTCAGGGAAAAACCAGTCTGCTAGCTTTAATTCTTCTGGTTGACTATTCACAGACCTGTCAAGAAAAATCATGCAAAGAGTCACACTATATCTTATCAGAGACTGAGATAACTGAGTGTCTATAAATCAGGGGCTCTATGATAATGAGATATAGAATGCCAAATGAGCAGGAAGCAGTAAGAAAAACGACGAACTTTGGTGGTAGTGGCGTGGAAAAATCATGATTTCCAGCCTCATTTTAACTCGGTATGCTGCCCGGAAATCTTCATTTGCTAATTCTCATGCTCATTCCTCTAATTCACAGAGAAAATAGCAGCCGCCAGATGAACGCTCCCTCAGCTTTCTGCCGTCTCCCCTCTAAATCTGCCTGTAGTACTGAATATCTTTCCCTTCTAGTACAATGGAAACATATCTCTACTTTCTGTCTAGTATTGGCCTTAACTATCCTATCTGCTCAGGAGCCTTGATTTGATGATGATTCTCAGAAGGGTTTCTCCTAGGTCCTCCATTTGATCAACTGATACTTCTGAACATTTTCCTGGGGCTTCAAACTTTTTATATACAACTAGACTTCTCCCAGGAATGTAAGACTCATATATCTGTGTTCTGAAGTCTTCTACCTGAAGTTTGCACAGGCACCAGAAAATGAAGATGTTTAATGTTAAAGTTATCATCTCCTCCCCTAAGTACGTCCTCTTCACATGTCGCGTTCTCTCCCTTGGATCCACTTGGATTGGCAGAAATACGAAAGTCGCTCTACACTCAGAGCGCTCCCTAAATCCCAACGTCAAGTCCCATCATTAAACCCTGCTGGTTTTACCTCAAAACATCTCTCAGATCCATCCCCTATCTCCATTTCCTGCCACCACGTGACTTCAAGTCACCATCGTCCCTTGTCTGGGCTACTGCAATAGCCTCCTAATTGGTCTCACTGTACACTTTTTAAAAAGAATTTTTAGTATGAAAAATTTCAAAAGTCACAAATGTAAAGAGGCTAATATAATGGGCCTCCACATTCCCATGCCCCTGTCCTTGCGTTGCCCCGTCCAGCCTGGTTTCCATATCTCCACTGTGTTTCCAGTATCACGCTTCTGAAGCTCCAGTGTTTCCATATCACTATCCTGTTCAGTAGTGTTCAGTGACTTCTCATTGTCTTAGAATCATATCTATATTCCTTATATGGCCATAATCTTCTGTGTGATCTGACCTTTCACTTTGTTCCAGCCACATCTCCTACCTGGCCCCTCACTTGTAATTTTTTCCAGGCTCGCTGACCTTTTTTTATTTCCTTAAACACGCCACAACTTCAGCCTGCTAATTGGCACATAGCCTTCAGGTCTCATTTTAAATATTCCTTCCTAAGGGAAGTATTTCCTAATCTGCTAAATGAAGTTCGATGCCTTTCGTTAGTAGCTAACATGCCACTGTAATTTAAGAAAAAAATTTTTGAAAAAGAAACTACCCAACCAAAAAAAAAAAAAAAAAAAAAGAAGCTAATATATATCGAATACTTCAGTAAGTAATATGTACTTTAATCTGCCCCTACGAGATAGGTATTATGACTATCATCCCCATGTTACTAGATAAGGAAACCAAGGCACAGAGTTTTGATTATCTTGTCCATAATCACAGAATAGGTGGAAAGACAAGCAGTTGTGTCTGAGGACTTACTTTTCCTCCTTACTAAATACTCTGATGGCACCTTGGCTGGGACACCTTCGGAGAGCCCACCCTGGCCTGAGGTAGCAAGGGGACCAGGCAGCTATGGGACTGAGTCATATATCATAAGACTGTCTTTGTTCTTATGTCCGCAGATAAGAATAGCTGCAACATCAGGGGTGTGACTCGGGGCATTCTACCCAGCACCCACTTCCATTGACAGTGATGCCATTGAATGATGAGTATTAGTATGATAAGGCTATTAGATATCTGATGCTAAGAATATAATATTAATAAGGGAAGGCTTGTTAGATTGCATTGCATTGAATACATTTTGCCAGGAAATATTTTAATCTGTTTTCTCCCCCAGCCTCTACTTCAGCAGACTTTCTTGAACGTACCCGCCTTTGCTTAGGGATTTCCCTGTTATCTTCAGGTGATTCAAGCTTCCTGCCTCCTGTTAGCCATGGCAATATATGGAGGAAACATACTCTGCCCAGCACATGAAAACCTTCTTACTATATTATTTTCATGCATAGCACAGCTCACCCAAGTATGGAGTGACGGTCTTAGTGCGGATGTTGTAAATCGTAAAACCATCAGATGGACAAGGCCCCTGGACACAAGAAGCGTCAGAAAGGAAAATTGCTTTCACTTCACTATGCGGGTTCCCATAACTATAGGAAAAATTGAAGAACATATTATGATATTGGATCTTGCACAGCCTTTGGGGAAGTTTTCCTCTCGGCACACATTCTGATGGCATGATTTTGTAGGTGGCCTGTGGCTAATACAATCTCCTGAGAGTCTTTTAGCCAAGACTTTCCTTCTGTGTGTTTGCCCAGAGCTTTAAAAGACCCAAAGTTCCTGAAAGCTGGGTTCTGGCTCCTGTCACATGTTTCCCTAACCAGTTCTCACTCCTTCCTCTCTGCTACTCTGCTCTTCTTTGACACATGTTTGCAAATTTGCTTTGGTTTACCCTGCCTATAGGAACCAAGGACTTGCAGATACTCCATTACCCTCCAACTGGTTTTGTCCTCAAAGACAAGGTCATAGCATATTTGTAAACAAAGACTTACCAGCACTGATATACCCTCTGTAGTTTCTGTGTGCTTAAGAAAAATAAAAAGCATTATGTTACTTTTAAACTTATACGAGGGGCTTCAACATTTAAGCTGACTAGAGTTATACTCCATCAATCCATATTCATTTTATTACCTAATTTTATTACCTAATATTACAAATGCTTAATGAACACATAACTGTGTCCCCCTCAAATTCATATGTTGAAATCCTAACTCCCAATGTGGTGGTATTAGGAGGTGGGAACTTTGGGAGGTGATTAGGTCATAAGGATGGAGCCCTCATGAATAAAATTAGTGCCCCTAGAAAAGAGATCCCAGAGGGCTCCCTTATCCCTTCCACCACGTGAGGACACAGTGAGAGGATGGCTATCTATGAACAGGAAGAGGCCTTCGCCAGACACCAAATCTGCCGGTGCCTTGACCTTGGACTTTCCAGCCTCCAGAATTGTGAGAAATAAATTTCTGTTGTTCATAACCCATCCCATCACAGTATTTTATTATAGCAACCCAAACGGACCAATACACATACATTACTGGTTGTAAAGATACAATAATGAACATGATAACAATTACTGAGGTGATTTGATTGATAAATATCACTCATATGCTATGTCATATGCTATGTCATATCAAACAATTGATAAAAATTACTCATATGCTACATCTCTTAAAATAACATTCTTTGAGATACAAAGGAGAGACGTTTAATAGCATTAAAATAATGAAATTTGCTAATTGCCAATGAAGTCTTTCTGCTTGTCTCAAATATGTGGAGGGGAAATGCCATACATAGTGCTTGAAGTCACTAATATTAGGGATGTTTCTTAAGATGACACCTATTTAAATATGCTAGTTTCTCTATAATATTTACTAACATTACATTGCTGCCATTGCATAGTAACTGTGGTGGCAGCTTAACTTTGCTGCTTTTCACACATATGGGCTGCTTCTCACACATATGGGCCTACAAAAATTACTTTTAGCTTTGATCCCATTGAAAACAAAGAGTTTTTAAGCCAAAGGCTATATTTATGCTCATATGTTCGGCTACCATTTGGATATGTTTGGGTGTATTTGGATTGATACAGTTGGATGCTGATTTTTTCAGGGGGTGAGCCTTTCTGACATAACTATATCCTTAAAACACCAGAAAAAAATATGCATTAAATTTTTTAATTTACCTGAATTGATACTCTCTTTGCAAGGCCCATAGACACAATAAAAGCAATAATAATAGAATTGTTTTTCTTTTATATCTCATCCTTTACTGGGAGGAAAAAAAGAGAGAGAGAGACAAAAGTAAATTAAATAAAGTGCAATGTATACAGAGTGAGCTGTGTTGAATCCTGTCTCTCCATGACTTACACTAGATGATTTAATGGATTTTAGCTAGGATTTAAGGCACTTCTGGTCTTTGGATGTTGCTTTACATGAAAATAGAGTTGAGTCAGTGGAGAGACACCATTTATTCGAGCTAACTGCCCAAAGTCTTAGGACGTTAGCTGGTCTAAGCTGGCCTCGATACAAAAGACATTATAAACTTCATTCATTTTTTTAAAGTACAAAAAATAAAACTAAAAAATAAAAATAAAGTACAAAGGGCTTTTTCCTACAGGTAAGTTATGCCACTTCCTCTCCTAAGTCTTTCAGTGTGGGGTATCAGAAAAAATACTTAAACTCTGAAGAGTTGTATAATTATAAAGGAATGTATTAGTTATTTGTAATTAAATAATATTATGAAGTTGATCATTCCAAGATACATGATAGAACTGTGAACAGTATAAAATATATGCCCCTTCTCAAAAGTATTTGAATGTAAAATTGATTCAGAGCACTAATAGGCTAAACTATACTTTTTAGATTATTTGTGCATTGACCTTAAAATTATAGCCATCAAGTTTACAAAACTGCTTTGTAATATTTAATCTATGTGATATGAATATGTGTGCAGAAAAGAAGTTGGATGTGGATTAGTTTGGTTGAAATTACGGACAAACTCTTACCTTTTGTTTCCCTAGGGCCACATAGGAATTTTATACAGTTTCTTCCTTAAAGACTTAACATTTTTGGTACAGTGGTTTGGGAAGATGTGGAGAATCTTAAGAGGGCAGAGTTTTCAAACAGGAAGTTTTGAGACCTTTGAAAGATCATAAATCAGGTAATCCACTATTGGTTCTGTGGCACTCTCCATTTTTGTGTTTATTATTTCAGTCTTCTGTGAATGATGATGTCATCAGATTCTCTTTTGACGATGACAGAACTAACATGCCTGTAACTTCTCTTTGTCATCACCTGGGGACTCGATTTTGTCTCATTGTTTTAAAAAAATAGTATTGTTAAGTTTCTTTCTTTTCTTGTGGATTTTTCAAAGCTTTATAATACATTTTTAATTAAAGTATAACTTACATAAAGTAAATGCAGTTTATTTGTACACTTTATTGAGTGTGTTACACATGCACGTGCATGTGTAAAAATCACTTTAAGATTTAGAACATATTCACAACCCCAGTAACTTCTTGTGCCCCTTTGAGTCACTACCCTCCCCCACCTAGGAAACCAGTGTTCTGATTTCTATTACCATGGCTGAGTTATTCTTGCTGTAAAACTTCATATAAATAGAGCAGTATGGCATGCACTCTGTTGGCTTTTTTCACTCCAGGCTTTTAACAACTCACCTATGTTTTTGTGCATATCTCATGCCATGCAAAAAGTTAATTCAAAATAAATGCTAGATCTATGTATAAAAGCAAAATCCACAAGCTTTTAGAGAAAAACATGGGAAAAATATCTTTGTAACTTGCAGGCAAAAGTCTGACACAGGTGAGATGAAACCTCTACAAAAAAAGTGACAAATTAAACTTCATCAAAATAAGAAAACTCTGCTCATCAAAAGACACCATGAAGAAAGTGAATTGAGTAAGTCATTACTATTTGCCAATGGTTTACAGTTACCTGAAATAACCTGCACCATACATGATCCATATAGGAAATAAAATCCATATCAATATTAGAAATTTTTCTATTGATTTCCATTCTTTTTAGAAGAAAAAAAGATTAGTAAAGAATATTTAAATTAAATTAATACAGAGCTAGAATCTCTTTTGGGTCACAGCAGAATAGGTTATACTAGACTTATGTTCCCATGGATGACAGCCATAACCTCTGGATGAAGTTAAAAGAAAAAAACGTTAAAAATACTCGAAGGCAAAGGAGTGGGCTAAAAACAGGCAGATTCTTGAAATGAGGAGAGTGTATTGGGTAAAATTCACATTTATACAGCTTTTCATTTGAGGTTATCTCCTAATTTACATAAATATAGGTGGCAAGAACTCGCATAGAAAGACGGGAGGAATCAGAGAATGGAGATGGTAGATGCAGAGGAGGCTGAAAGTAATAGGGAAAATCTCAGAAAGAGGGAGACACAGAATGAGGTTCTCCAAAACCTGCATAGAACCTCTGACCAAAACATTGGATGACAACTGATCTGTATGTGCATAGGAAAGACTGCAGTTTCCCCAGAAAATAGAAACATCTGAAAGGCCATAAAAAAATGAGAAATTTCAGCTAATGCCCCATGTAGAAGAAATGGGGTTTGGAATTTGCATCCAGCCCAGTTAACTATCTGTTCAAACTAAAGTCAGCACCCTTCAGAGGAAAATAACAGAATCCAGTTTCTACAACATGTCATTCATAATGTCATGTATAAATTTTTAGAGAGTTACTCGACATGCAAAGGAACAGGAACATGGGACCCATATTGAAAAGAAATGGACCTCGATGTAACTCAGATGTCATAAGTGGTAAACAAGTACTTTAAAGCAGCCAGTATAAAAATGTTTGACAATATAATGGAAAACTTGGTCAAAATGAATTAACAAGATAGGAATTCTCAGCAAAGAAATGGAAGCTATGAAGAAATGGACATTCCAGAACTCTAAAAGTACTATATTCAAAATGAAAATGTTAATGGATGGGCTTATAAACAGATTGAATACTATAGAAGAAAAGTTCGATGAAATAAAAGACAAATCATTCTGTGTGAAAAAGAGAGGAAATAAAAGTCCGTTTACATTTAAACTAATCAGGAGCCACCTTAGCTACCCATGAGCAGAAGTTTCTGCACTCTGTCATTGTAAGAGTCTCTCTAGGTGAGGGTGCTTTTGGAGTGGGGGAAAGAGGAAGAAGGGGGGAATGCAGCGTCCCTCGGTTGAACGAATAAGGTTGTGAAGCATGAACAGACATAATAATATTAAGAAACCTGTTTTAAAGCCCCACTACTTTTAGGAAGTGTTTGAGACGTCTTACAATTAAAAAGGCATGGTTCCAATAAACAGGGAATCAACACAGGGAAAGAAAAGCAAACAAAAGGAAACAGAAAGAAACATTTAGTCACTCATGTAGGTATTTTCACATGACCTTGGTCATTCCAGCCGCTCCGTGAGAATAGAAGTTTTACCTTCATTTTCATTTACATATAAAGCAATTACTGATAAGGAGGAACTTATTTCTCCCATTGTGTTATTTGTTTTCTATATGCTTTTTAGCTTCTTTTGTCCATTATTTCCTGCATTACTGTCTTTTTGTTGACTTTGTGTATGTAGTGAAATATTTTAAAATCTCTCATTTCCTTTTGTATATATTCTATAGCTATTTTCTTAGTGGTCATCAAGAGGATTGTATTTAACATCCCAAACTGTAACACTCAAATTAGAATTTGTACCAGCTTAACTTCAATAACAAACCAAAACTTTATTCCTTTACAGCTCTGACTCCTACCTTTTACGGTTATTGATGTCATGAAATTACATCTTTATACATTGTGTGCCCCAAAACATAAACTAATAATTCTTTTAAATGCATTAGCCTCTTAAGTATGTAGAAAACAAATTATGGAGTTATAAACCAAAGTTATAATAATGCTAGCTTTTAGACTAGAAAACAATTTTTTAAATGTACTAGTCTCAATGCTAAACACTCAGCTAGCATAACCACCTTTTATTCTGAAGTTACAGTCAATTCACTGACAGTGTATCCTAACTTCGGCTGATTTTTCAGTCCCATACTTTAAATATTTATAGCTATTTTCATTTATGTGTGAACTTCATATATATTTCTACAAATGGGCAGTCTTCACCAGGTCCAGAAAAGAATATTTTTTGGTTTTTATCACTGCAATTACTTAGTGTTGTCTTTGGCAATTCTTGCCCTCTGGTGTCCAGTATAGGGAACTGCTCTATGCTTTTGTTTCGCTGTGAATGTTATAGGAGTAAGAAGTGATGAGTTCCAAGCTTTGAAGCTCATCAGAGACTATGATATAGACAAGTGGATATTATGCTTGTTTCCTTCTTATTGAAGTCCTATGGAATTTTATTTTATTTTTCTAAAATTTTATTTTATTTTATTTTATTTATTTTCCCCTCTTTAATCCTCTCCCGCCCCCTTCCACCCCTGACCTATGGGTGTTGCCATTTCCCCTTAAGAACTGGATCTCTGAAGGCGCAGGGTCTCCTCCCACATGCTCGCGGTGTGCACCTGGGGCCTGGCGCACCCAGGGTATGGTCCATGGCTCCACCTGGGACGTGAACCCAGGACCTTCTGCATGTATAGCAGATGTACTATCCACTACACTTTGGCGCAACACTCCCTAGGGAACTTTACATCAGGGGGTCTCAACCTCATCATTATTGACATTTTGAGCCAGATAATTCTTTGTCATGGGGACCCTCCTGTGCATTTGAGGATGTTTCGCTGCATACCTCTACCCCCTAGATGTATCAGCCCCACTCCACCACCAAGTGGTGACAGCCAACAATCTTTTCAGACATTGGCCAAGTATCCTTGGGGCCAGGGTCGGGGCTGAGAAACAGAGGCGGTGATGGTGGTGGTGCAAAATCATCCTGGTTGAGAACCATTGCTCTACGCTGAAGCAAATCCGTCTTATACATCACTGACCTTAAGCAGCACTGAACTCAGCAGGTTACGCGCCAGGCTCGGGCTGCCCCTCCCGGGTTACTGTGTACCACGGCAGGGAGAGTCCAGTTGCCAGATATAAACGCATCTGCTTTGAAGTAGGACCCACAGTCCACAATCAAAGTTAATTTTTTTTATGATAAAAAGCCCTTCTTGTGAGGCATGATGGGAATGGTGTGATAATGAATACACTCATTCATCTTGTAGATACTGGTTAAGCAGTGCCTCTGAGATAAGGGATGTAATAGGTGCTGAAGCTGATGCAAAGACAGACTGCAGTGAGCCTGTAAGGAACTAACCATGCCAGAAGGGTTCAGTGGGGGATATTTTCAGCTATAAGAGAAGGCCACTTCCAACTGGCTTAAACAATACTGGTACTTTATTGGCTCACACATTCAAAAAGCCCACCGGCAGGGTAGGCTTCAGGTAAGGCTGGAGCCAGTAGTAGCTCAGGGTTGTCAAGGACTGGGTTTCCTTCAGGTCCCCTGCTCTTCCAGTCCTATTGTCAGTTTCATTGTAACGCCGCTCTCCCTTGTAGTTACCAGAGATGTTAGCAGCTCCCAATGTTACAGGCGTCCTCATTTCCCGAACACCTGAGATTCACTTTGATAGGACTAGTTTAGGTCACCTGCCTGCCTCTGGGTCAATCATTGTCCCCAAAGGAATAAGAGGTGCTGATTGACTTAGCCTGGATCACTTGTTCCATCCAAGGCACCAGCTTCCAGAGAAATCACATGGATTCCATAAAGGAGAACGAACTTTGCTGGGAGGGGAGAAAGCAAGCCACAGACGAAGGGCCAATGTGAGGTCCTCAGCAGCCCCAGCCCTCCCTGGTCTTTGCTGCTGTTCACACAGGCTCTGCCGGGTGATCTCACTCAGTCCCAAGGCCTCAGCGCCATTCGTGTGGGTCTCTGTGAAAGTCTCATTGCAGTCAGTCCTCTGTGCTTTACATCTGCTTTTCCCTCTGAAATCTCACTCCACCTCCACTCGCCACAGTGACCCTGTTCTCTCTTTTGAAGCTCAGTTCTGAGTCAGCTCCTCCAAGGCTATTTCCACCCACCCACATCTTTCCCTCCTCCACGACCCTTAGCCTCTAACTTCTCCAGTGTGGCTATGTGATGAGTGTAGACCTACATTCTGCTTCTGAAGAATTTCTGGTCTCAGTTCTTACTCTTTAATGCCTAGTATAGGAATTGAGAGCTTTTTATGGTGATTCCTTGGCGTCCTCGAATTTCAAAAACAAGATGGTTAGTGTGTGCGTGTGTGCACACGTGCATGCACACACACAGACACGTGAAAGACAGAGGGAAGCAGACTGGGGGCTGTGGAAAGAACAGTGGATTTAGAATCAGACAGTCCTGGGTTTGAATCCTAGCTCTGCATCCTTTCAGATCTGAGGCTTTGACCAATGGATCCCCACTTAACCCTTTCTCTCCTTAAAAATTATGCATTATAACCAATGTACTGTATACTTGAAACTAATTTAAATAATTTTTGAAAATTATGCATTGTTATGCATTCATGCTTCCTATGTTTCACACTTGAGAGTATGCTACCATGCCTGTGTTATTAATTTACATAAGATGTATTTAACAAATAGTATGTTTAATAAATACTTGTATCTATAAGTATTGCCATAGCTGTAGCTCCCTCATTAGTAAGTCACATGGTGACTCAGGCTGAGAGGGATCAAAGATGAGTATTCTAAGAAGGAAGAGAAGTTAGACCCTTCTAGCCTTAAAGAAACTTCTGCCCTTCCAGGTGCATGTGACCACCAGATGAGAGGTGCAGTGGGAGGAGATGTGGCTGTCTCCTCCACCTGCCCCCAATTATGCCCTCCAAGGCACTGCCTTGGCAGAACAGCTCATGTGCCCCAGAGGGCTTAGGTCAGCCCTGCATGCATTATGTAAAGAAAGAATGATCACATAGTCTTTTATTTTTATTTTTTACATGATTCATTTTAACTAATGAATGCATTTGTGGCAGTTTTAGTGCATGAAAAGTGGGAAATGGTACAGACTGGAAACATATCTAGTTTAAAAAATATGCTTATGGCAAAAACGCCCCTTTACACATGCTTCTGTAAAGTTGCATTTTCCCCGATATGAAACATGGCCCTCCAGATGTGCGCTGTCAACACATTTACCCTTCTCAGCTTCTCTGGTTTAGGCTTCAGCTCAGCACTTTCCAGCTGGGTGGCTGAACCTTAGTGAACCTTACTTTGCTCATCTACAAAAGGGAATTCATTCTCTACTATGAGGGCATCGTGCCCTATTGTATATCCACTACACCACACTCCACCAGCCTGGTCACCTTTCGTTTTTATATTATTACACATACATGTTCCCAGACTTGCTGGAAACCCAGCCTTTTCCCGGGACTCCCTTGGCCAGACATATTCCCCAGAGGTCAGGACTAATAACCTCCAGACATGGTTAAGGCACTGTCTCCTCCCTTTGCCCTGGTGCCCCACACCAAGCTTCAGGGTCGAGCCTTTTCCTACTGGGTCTTCCCCTGGCAGTTAATCACTTTAGCGCATCACTTCGGAAACCTCTATATGAACGCTTGTTGTTTTAAAAGTGCAAATCTCAACTACGTTCTTTCTATCTTCGTAATAGTGGACACATTTTTAGAAAGGCATAAGGACTTTTTGGAGTCTGAGAATTTAAAATTCTCTAATTGACAATTTTGAACATCACTGGGAGAAAATGCACAATCTATGACCGGACCAGAATATACTGAGAAAATAATTTATTCAGTTGTACATAAAGAAAATTATTAAAAAAAAAAACATTTAAGAATAACTATTAATGAGTTTTTTAGTTTGTCCACTTGGGATTTAAATTTAAATGAATTAAAAACAAAATCAAGATTTCCTCAAAAGTAAACTTAAGCCCTTTTTCTTTCAGGATAGATCATTTCTTTGGTTCGGGTCTTAAATCGTTAATTTTCCCTACTCCAGAATGAATCCTAGAAAATTTGAGTTACAGAGAAGCGGGAGCTTAACTGACATGTGATCTCCTTTTTCTTTTACAAAGTCCACTTCTCCAGGATTTTCGTTGGTTTCGTTTTGTCGGTTTGTGGTATTTTTTGGCAAGAAGTGAAGAGCAGGAGGAGGCACAAAGCAACGGTAGAGAAAATGTAGGTTTCCTTTAGCGGAGAAGCCCACTGTGCTGAACACCAAGCCAGTGTCGTGGTTCTTCAGATAAATCCCTTAGAAATGGAAACAAATGACCTAACTGGAACACGAGCAAAATATAAATATACCTGCATATGTAAATGTTGCCTCTTAGCTTCCTTTACACTGAATTGCTTGACTTTAAATAATATGTAGACTTTCATAACTTCTCTTAGAGAAGGGAATTGAATGTTAAGCTGCTCAGTCGTGAGGACTGGGTCTCCCATTGCCATCCCCTCTGCTCTTGATAGAAAATCAATTAACCACTTTATTAAATGTGTCTGGTTGTTACACCTCAGTAGTGCAGATGGCGTAGGGGAAATGACAGGTTACTTGATGAGAAGGCTCTTCCTCCGATCCATTCCTTGATGCCAGCCCTCCAAGTGGGGCAAGATGTAGGCAGAGGGACCCTGAGGGTTAGAGTGGGTGGCAGAGGGACTTGCCGATGACTGATTATCATGAAGCCCACATCAGCGATAACTGACTGCCATGAAGCCCAGGTCTGTGAAATGCAACTCCTCGCCACCCTCTTCGATCTACTTTAGTCTTTTGTCTTTTCTGACACCATTCACCTCCTCTGCCAAAGATCTGAAGACACAAGTTGCAGAATCTAGCAGACTGAACGCAACTTGGGCAAAACAAGAAGCATCTTCCATTCAGGCCTCCTCCACTCTGGTTATTGTGGGATCGAGGAGGCTGGAGATCATCCACATTGTCCCCTCCCCATTCTGGGCCCAGATACATGCTGCATTCAAGCGCCAACCCCATGTCCTGTGCTCCTCTGTGGTGGCATTCTCCACGGTGACCAGCCCCCTTTCTTTCCACTCTCTCTCTTTGCCATTTCAGGGCAAACTCACTTTGAGGCTTCGTTTTCACTTCCTGAGCACACATTGGCTCCTTCAGATTCTCTGTGACTCCAAACATTCACCACCGTGCTATCCACTGAGAATCTCGACCAGTGTTTCTCACAGAAGCCAAATAACATCCTGAGAGAAAAGGACATGGACTTACAAATGGCCCGAAGTGATGCGATATCGAAGCCATTCGAGGAGTGCCAAGGGAGACCGAATCCCCAGAGTTCTCCTGCTGCAAAGCAACTATATGTTCCTTTAGATCCAGCAAAAACAGGAAGACACTGGAATACAGGGAGCATTCCTGACAATTGTATCTCGTTGCCAAACACTTCCCTTAGCACCCTTTTCTATAGTACATTATCTGGCACATGTAGAGTATTTCTGGCTTTTTCTTTGTCTGTGATTTTTTTTTTTTCTTTTAGTTCAGCTGATAGTATTTTCCCCAAACCCAGAATAGATAGGAAATCACTGGGAATTTACATCCGATTACCATAGATAGGTTCATTCTCCCGCATTATAAGGCTCAAAGTTACAAGGAAGAATAGCATGTACTTGGCTGGGTCGGTGTTTTGTTAGTATTTTTTTTTTAAGTTAAAATTAAATGTTACTTTTCTGAGAAAGTAGCCAGAATGATACTCTCTGAAATTCATAAAATTACAGGCACAATTTAAAGTCAGACATTATTTCTAACCAAATTATATTCTTTTGTCTGCCAAGATATCTTGACAGTCTTAATATCTGAAGGCAAGCCTATATGATAATCCCAGCAATATTCTGGGGATAAAATTTTAGTGGGTTTGTTGAGAAGGAAATACTTGTTTAAGTGGCTTTCATCATGCCACTCGGCTTCTATGTCATTTTTCTTGTCCTGGAGGATTCCCTGGAAGCACTCCTGGGTGATGTTTAAGACCTGAATGGGTGTTCCTCCAAAAATGGCCGCGTGGTAATAAAAATCCCCTTGGCCGAAGGGAATGTATGCTGCCGACTCCTTCCGCCTCTCGTAGGTAAATTCGTCCGGATCTGCCTTATACCACCAGGCCTGGAGCTGAGCCACCGACTGGCCCAGTGTCTCCACCCCGAAGTTGTCTTGGAAGACCTGGTCCACGTCCATGCAAAAGAGGAAGTCGACCTCGTGCTGGATGTGGCTTACAATGTGCTCCCCGATGATCTTCATACGCATCATGCTGATGTCCTGCCACCTCTTCTCAGCCTTGATCTCAAACACCTTGAAGGAACGCAGAGGGTCCAGCTCTATCAAAGGCAACCTGGAGACATCGTCCACCATGATGTAAAATATGACTCTGTGGCCAACCATGAAGTACCTATTAGCAGATGTTAAAAACTCCTCCAAGTAATGCTCAATGTATCTGAAACAAAGGAGAACAGGATAAATGAAACCTCTGACTCTGCGGTGACCATGTGCTCTTCTAATGATTTCGTTTGCATTTGGAAGTTTAAGAGACAAATGTTTTTTCCCATCCCAGATGTATGTTTTCACATGGAGAGACGTCTGTCCTAGCTGCTCTCCACCGTTCAGTCACTCAGCCAGGTGAGGTGGAGTGACTTCTCTGACTGCCCTGCCCTCCTCTTTTCTGTGGCTCCTGGAAGCTGACCAGTTGCATGTGTGGTCCGGGCCTTGCAGTAAGCTCAGTGGCACAGGCCCTACTCCCATGTCCGGAGCCCTGCAGTTTCTAGTGTTATAGGTGCCTGGGAGCCTAAGTCTTTCAGAGTCTGTGGTTCGATGTTAGAAGGCCCAAGCCTGCAGAGATAAGGCACATTCTCCAATATTAGCTTCAGCTGTAATAGAGATGATATTTACGTAGCCCTTTGTCTTGGTTCAGACCTTGGGCAGGCAAAGGGGATGCAAATTCTTTTTTCTTTCAGCTTTATTGGTATTTAATTAACACATAACATTGTATAAGTTTAAGGTGTACGGTGTTACTTTGATACACTTATACATGCAAAACGATTACCACCTTAATACTAGCTAACACCTCCATCACGTCACATAATTACCATTTCTTTTTTGGTGGTGAGAACATTTAAGATGTACTCTCTTAGCGACTTTCTCCTCTGGGACCCAGAGAATGGGTTAAGAGACATAGATATCCTTCTATATTACATATTCACCCTGTGAACCTCCCACTGGTCACCCAAAACCCCAATCCTTTGTCCAGACACCATCATTATAAGATCTGTCCAAATACGCAAACGGACAACTATGAATAAGTCTTATTTTAACGATTTTTTCCTTTTTTTTAATGGACTTTATTTTTTTTAGAACATTTTTAGGTTCACAGCAAAACTGAGCCAAAAGCACAGACAGTGCCCATATATCCCTCTGCTCCCCGCTCCCTCCCACATCTTCCTCCACCACCAATATCCAACGCCAGGATGGTACAATTGAACTTCTGATTTTATTTTCTGGGGGAAGAAAATTCTCCAAAAGAGCAAAATGGGTTGTATTTTAAAACCAATATTACAAGCTACTAATCAAGTACAAAACGGTTGCAGTTTTGGGAGAAACGTTCTAAAGAAGGAAATGGACGCTGAAAGAGGAACTTATCTAACCTCTGGAAGAGGAAGTTCTGACCAGCCAGATCTCCAGGGATCTAAAACCTCCAGCGGGGCTAGGGCAGAAGGGACCAAGAGACCCTACGAGAGTGGTCAGCCATGCTCTGACACGAAGACCACCACGCTTCAGTCACCCTCGACCGAGAACTTGGCATAAATCCTCTGTCCTTGGTCTTGGGTCTTGAGGGCTTAGGAGAAAGAATGATGCAAATTGATGCAAACCATTGGCACTTCTGGAATTTCCAAAGGAAGGCCATGAAGGTCAGGGTGGAAGTGGTTGTGGGTAGACTGTAGACTCCAGGCTCACTGGGTATAACAGACATTTTTACCTGCAACCTGAGACCCACCCTCACTTTGAGGTGGGAGATGTCGGCTCACCTTTGTTCTCATCTTTTTGGGGCCACAGCAGAAATGAGATTGAAATGGTCCCATTGTAACATTCTCCTATCTAATACTTCAGACAAGTCGTGAATAGCCTTTGTATGCCCAGGGGGCCCCTCACAAACATTTTTACAGTTGCAACAGAAAAAGTCAAGATCAATTTTAATAGTGACACCTACCTTCCGATAGCAAAAACTGTCAAACCCACAGTAATTTTCTGTTTGCCATAGTAATTTTCTAAGATGCCTCTGTTGTAAGTGCCTTCCCACACAACTGGTGCATTCCATCTGGTCACTGTCACAACCCCTGGGCGTTTCCTGGTGACAAAACGTAAGAGTTCTGTGAGTTGGGGACAGCTTTGCTAAGGTGGGGAAGAGGCTGTCTTCGGGAACCCTGGGGTCTGCTATGATTTGTGGTGACTGTCTCTGAATCCTGACTGGAGGAACGCCAAGCCGTCAGCTGGGCCGTATGACATTTCAGGGGCAGCATCTTCTGGGTGCTTCTGGGACAGGAGGCTCGGGCCCAGGTGCCTCTGAGGGCTGCCTTAGGGGTCCTTACGGAGATCTTACCTGTATCTCTCATACCCTTTCCCCCTTTTTCTTTTTTCTCCTCTTCCTTCTACTTCCCTATATGCCTAGCCCCTTCCTAAGCTGCCAGTGGCATCTCTACGTGTTATTTACCCCCGTGGGTACCATCTGAGCCCAAGGCCTGATCCTTGACACAGGGGGATGAGAGAGCGACATTGAGCTAAAAGAGAAAAAACTGTTTCGATTTGCCTTTTGCCAGAAAAGGACTTCTGGGTAAGAACCTGGTTCTAGGCCAAAAAAGGGCCGCAGGCTCAGGGGGTTCTGGTGTTCACCCTTCATTTTACGAAAACAAGGAGACAGAGTCCCCCAGAAAAGAAGAGACCCGACAGAGGCCCCCCGCAGCCGAGGCCGAAACACAGGGCTCAGGCACAGACCTCCTCAGAGCACAGACTCTCCCACCAGCAGCGGGGAGGCGGGGGTGGGGTGTGTTTTCCGCACTCAGAGCGCTTGAAAGGAACTTGGCAAAGCCAACACAAACAAAAGAAGCGACGTAAGAGCTACAGCGGACAAACTGTAAAGGGCAAACGCAGACAGGCTCAGCAGCAGCTGGGGCCCAGCACGAGGGTGGAACTCAGCCTGGAGGGGGTGGTGAGACTCAGCTCTGATCCCCTTTTGCTCAGGAAGTGTCTGCATTTCCCCTGCTGGGAAGCAGAGTCGGAGACACAGTCATTTAGATTCAGACCCCAGCAGGCGCGGGCCTGGCCCCTGCTACGCCTTTGCTTGTCCTTCATCTACCATGGGGGGAAGGTCAGTGTTTAGGACAGAGTCCTAGTGGTCCCTTAGCTGTGTCCCAGCTGGCTGCCTGCATGTGGCCCCGGGGAGGCTATCAGGCGAGATGGCCAGTGAGAATGTCCCTTCCCCTCACACATGGTGGAGGGTGGGTTTTCACAAAACTGTCTCTCCCTCACCAGCAAAGCCAGGTTTTCCCTCGGTGAGGCTGGGCAAGGCTGGGTCGACACCCGCCTCGCCCCAGCCCTAGCCCCAGAGTGGAAAAGAGACTCAGTAGACTGGTCCTCAGGCCCCCGTCCCTCTGTCACCTCACTCTGCACTTTAATTCTTGAGCTGACTGTGCTCTCCCACCCCTGCCCTGTGTCCCGCACCCTGCTTCTGGCCGGCTCCCCGCTGCACAGCTGGAGTCGCCTCCAGCAATAGGGTTGGGTGGGGGTGGGGAGGGTCACTCTCAGGCTGCTCTCCCTACCTTCCCCACCTTGTCCGGAGTCTCAACCTGAGACTCAGCTCGGCCCACACACCCGGATGTGCCGGTTGCATGGACAGCTGCTCTTGGTTTCCTTTGGTCATGAAAAGCTATTTTGGACTCTGTGCCAACCTGTGCCAGGCACTCTGACATACACTTTCTCTTTTACTCCTTGCAACAGGCCTGCCTCCTATTATATCTGTTGCGTGGGTAAGAAAACCAAGGCTCAGAAAGACTTGTTCGCTTGTCCAAGGCCGCACAGCCGGACGCTGATGATGGTCCCACTGAGCACTTCCTGTGGGACCAGGCACTGTGCTAAAGGCTTCGCTCTTCAGAGGTGGGTGCTATTTTGATTCTCATTTTACCAGTGAGGAAACCGCAGCACAGAGAGGTTCAATAACTTGCCAGATGTCACCCAGCTAGTCAAGGGCCACACTGGGATTTGAACCCAGATAGGCTGACTTCGGAGCTTGTGCTCTGAACCAACCCGTATCGCTTCTTATGTGAACATTAACTTGCTACACTGATGAAACCGGAGTTAAAACCCAGCCCGTCATTATTTCCACTCAAATTAGCTCCTGCAGAATGAGAAATGATGAGCTTTTTTTTTTTCCTTTGTTTTTAGAAGCTTCCGTGATGCTTTTAGTCACATAAAACCAGCTTCGTTGAATGACAGGGTTTCGAACCAAAAAGAAAAAAAAAAAATCACACACACACACACACACACACACACACACACACACACACACACACGCATACAAATACACACAGCTTATACTTCCATAACCAGCATTTCTGAACTTAAACTCTCCCATGTATTGTCACCCCATTCATTGCATTTCTCCGTTTTAGCCCGTCAGAGATCTTTTCGTGGTTCTGACCCAGGCTGCTAGCTAAGTCATGCAGCCGAGTATGAGCTGGACATCTGGTAAGCAGGTAACAGTTCTTTTTTAAAGGAAGAGAAAGAGGAGGAAAAGAAAATGGAGCAGGTATACTTAATACTTACAGTGCACAGGGGCTAAGTACTCGACTTTCGTTCTCTCCTTTAGTCTTCACGACCGTGCTATCATCACCCCCATTTTACAAAGACAGGAGAGGGGAGGAGAGGGGAGGTGTCTTTAGCCATTTGGTTTCTAGGAAGGGCCAGACCCAGGCACTCAGTCCCTCGATGCGGATTTTCTGAGTCCCTGTTCCTCACCAGGCCCTCTGCTGAGCTTGAGATTAGAGACCTGAGCCCCGCATCCTGCCCTTTGAGAATCTCACGGTCCTGACAGGTGGTCAGCCTACCACACACTTTTCAACTGCACGAGTACTCAGTCCACCACTTCTAAAAAGATCAAGTCAGAAAACCAGTGTCCAGTTTGGTTGCTTGGCTGGGAAGACTCCTTCAAGCAGGGGGGAAAAAACAAAAAGTAGCGATATTAAAAATTTAATATTTAATGAAAAATTAAAGTGTTCTATTTCCCAGCTGTTAATTATTAAATTCCACTGGCAATTCCAACACGTCAGTGCCCCCCACCAAGAAGCCGGATGACAGGCTGAAAACGTAGGCAGGGGGAGAGGAGGGATAGTGGATGAGATCAGCTTCCGGGATGAAATGGTTTATCAAGAACCCCTGAAACCTCCAAACACCCCCAAAAAAGAAGTGACAGAGGGCAGGCCACACATATGTAAGAGCTAGCCTTTGCCACTGCCAACTGCCAGAGATGTCCAAGGTCACAAAGATGGAGCTCCAGAAGGAGAAAAAGGAACCAAGAAAGACTTGGAGCTGCCCCAAACCCTCCCTTCTGAGTGTGGCACCTATCGTGTTACTTCAGCTGGTGTGTTTCCACCGGGACAGGCCAAAGCCTTCCCACAAAATCACAAGGCCTCCAGAACCACATACCTGCCTGGGTTATTGGCAGTTTGGGTTTATTTTTCTTTTTCCTTTTTCTATTTCATGTGCTTAATTATGGGAACATTGTGGTTGAGAAGAGGAAGTGTTAAAATTCTAGGAATCGTGAAGGTCAACAAAGACGCGGAACGTATATCACGGGTCATTTACTGAGCTCCTGAGCAGCTCCATGCTGGAGGGTGATCGGGCAGAGAGCCGATGGCGACGTGAACAAAGGTGGCTGTGGAATGCAGAGGAGATGATGCAGGAAGAATTTGGGAAGAAGAATGAACGGAACGCGGTAATGAATTAGACTGTGGGGTGGGTGGAGGAGAAGGCTGAATTGGAGGTGTCCCGGACTCTGGCTTGAGATGGGAAATGAGGAGAACACGGGTTGGGTGGGATCCTGTGAGATAGGCAGAGACGTCAAGCAGGCAGTTAGACGCCAGTCAGGTGGAAGATGCCGTATGAAGACAGAGGATGAGGATACTGGATGAAACCTCCGGAAACTCTAATGGTTGAAGGCTGGGGAGAGAGAGAGGCCCGTGTCCGAGGAGACGGAGAAGGGAGAACGGAGCAGTCAGAGGAGATTGAGAAGGGTCCGGGGTTGTAGAGGCTGAGGGATCTTGACGTGGCAATGTGTACACGATATACTGCCATGCGTTTTAGGTCATTTACAGAAAAGGGTACGTTTATATATATATATATGTTTATTTGTTCATGCAGTTGTTCATCTAATCATTCATTGGGTGCCCTGACAAGACTTCAATTTGGTGCCACTTCAAACCGATACTCTTTAAATACCTGCTTGCCATTCGTTTAGAGAGACGCTGGCTCGTGCACAGGGGAGAATGGAAAAAGCGACAGCTGGTGGCCGTGATCTGACTCTCCTCTCTGCCCGCCGCAATTCAGCCCTGAACCTGCCACCCACGTCCTGCTCGGCAAAGCACAAATGCCACAGTGAAAGTGTGCCATCCTCCTCACAAGGGAGCTTGGTGACCGACCACCTCTGGCTCATCTAGCCTGCTCCTTGGGAAGTCTGAACCCACTGCCACACACACACACCGAAGGGGCTTTTCAAGGCCACAGTGTGTCCATATTCTTACATTTCCAGTAATGAGACAGCATATCGTAGACGGGTACTCTGTTGTTCGGCTCATCTATTGACAGACAGGGCACCCCAAATTCCCATTCTTCTACGCTATCCCAAAACAATAAGAGAACTTGCCAGAACATATTCGGTCTTTCCAGAGCCCAAGATCACTCACACTGGAACAGATGCTACTCTCTCCCAATCCTCCGACCTCTATAGCTGTTCCTCAGACTTCTCTTCCTCCACCAGCCTTTTAAGTGCTGATGTCAGACAAGATTCAGGTCTATTCCTCTGCTCAGGGGTCTCATCCAGGCTTGCAGATCTCACTGTCACCTGTGTTCGGATGGCTCCTCATCCTACATCCTACGCCACCATACATCTTCTGCAGAGTTCGGGCACTGTTACAGACAGACGATTTGTGTGCCACCACACCCAAATTCATATGCTGAAAACTAATCCCCATTGGGGGGGCATTGGGAGGTGGGGGCTTTGGGTGATGAGTTCATGAGGGTGGAGCCCTAATGGATGGGATTAGTGCCCTTATAGAAAAGATCCCAGAGGGCTCCCTCACCCCATCCATATGTGAACTAGGAAGTGGGTCCTCATCAGTCGGCAAATCTGCTGTTGCCTCGATCTCGGACTTCCAGCCTCCTGAACTGTGAGAAACAAATTTCTGTTGTTTATAAACGATCCAGTCTATGGTTTCTTGTTATAGAAGCAGGAGCAGACCAAGACGGGTGCTCTGTGAATCTCCGTCCCGATGCCCCGCGAGTGCCTGAATCCACATACATCCCTATTTGAGCTCATCACCTCCCCCCACTCCTCGACCGGTGTCCCCTCCTCCAGGCCCTTTCCCGGTCAATGGCACCACGCTCCAGCAGTCTCTCAGGCCTCACAGTGATCCTGGACAGTTCTCCCCACCTTACTCCTCAAACTACATCCTTCTGAGCCAGGTTGATCCTACCTCCTTACCGACCTTGGCAAATACTAGTTTTACATCTAGGGCCCGATAAGACTGTGAACTCCTTGAATATACCCACATGGATTGATTTCTCCCATCTCCTGTGCCTAACATAATGTCTAGAACTGAATTTTTGGCCATGACTTACATTTTACATCACAAGCAAGCACACACACATACACATATATACAGAAAAAATTCCATCAAACAATACTTATCCTTACTTCATGTGAAACCCTCTATTCGATTTTACTTTAAAAAAGTAAAAAAGCTGGTTTTGAACCGTTAAGCTAGTTTCTGAACATATTAATGGATAGTGACCAGTAGTGTGAAAAACACCAGCTAGCATATCATAGGTGTTTGATAGACATGTGTTGTATGTTTGCTTAATGAATGCACGCACAGCCCCATGAGATTTTGTATCATTGTTGCCATTTTACAGACGAGCTAACTGAATCTCAGAGAGACTTTTCTTACTGACTCTAGGTCCTGTGGCTTTCTACACCATGCTGTGACATGTACGACCCCTTTTGGTTCCCATATTTTGTGATTCATCTGGTGCCATTAGCCAATTATTGTCAGAATCATTGTGTTTGCTCAAGCATCTGAATCGAAACATCCAGATTCTCAGTTTCTCTTCTAGTCTGTTGTTAAAGATCTGATAGATGCTAAGACTCTGTCTCCCCACTAAGGAATGATCTCAGTGACATCGTTATCTACACAGCCCCCCACCTCTTCCTGAGCTACGAATTTATTGCACGTGGGCGATGCCTTCTCTTACTGTGGATTAAACCAGTCCGATAGCTGAAGCTCTTCTTCGCTGTCTTCCCTTCTTTGTTCCTTTTCTCTGTCTATGTCTTCTTCCCCTTGGTAATTGTGGGTCCTATGTACAAAGGGAAAGCAAGCTGAGTAAGGCAGGGAGGACGACCTACAGTGTTGGGACAGTCAGTCAAAACGCGTTTAGAGGAAAGAAACATGTTTGACAAGTGAATGGCTGGAGAAGTTTCTTGGTACTAAACAGTTATTCATAAACATGTGCTTTTGATGCAAAGGTGCAGTACCCGTCTTTCTTAATATCCTTCCAAGTCGGCATAGTTAGTAATGTGGTGACCCAAGAAGGCTCAGGTTTTTTCAGGGAGCAAGAAAATCTTGATTAAACCATCCTCCTCAGAACATTTTATCTTACGATAGTCTTCTTTCTATCTGAACTTCGACCCAATGCTCACTCACCCCCAATTTAAATACAAAAAACAAAGACAAAAAAACTTTAACGTTCTAGTCCTAACCACGGAATAGATTCTTTATATGATTCAGTAGGCCGGAAAGATGCGTGACGAAGGACAGCAAAACCATTTTATTTGGACTCTGTAACGTATAACAGGTCGAAAAACACAGATCTTCCTCCCATCTCCTTACCTGTCATTAAACCAGCTTGGAAACCACCAGTCTTTCTGACTACCGTTGTCACCAAGTTCTGGGTTTCTAAGAAATGAAAAAGATGACAAATATTTTTAGAAAATGAGGCAGTCTCAAACTGGGGTTTTCTGAACTCTTTTTATGACAGAAAAGTCTTTTTAAAATTTTTTTTTTAAACTGCCATTTGGTAAAATAGAAGTGAAGCTGCTCTAGCTGAATGAGAGAGGATGGACTCAACTGCCCAAATCTTTTATCCCTCAGGCAGCCCCCGGCACTTGCCTATTCATCCAAGAAGCCCTAGCAAGAGAGAAGGAGAGAAAAGAATGACAGGGGTTGGGATGGGGGACATTAACACATAAATCTGGGACCTGGATCTGCCACTTATTAGTTGTATGGCTACGATAGAAAATTTTCCCTCTCTGAATCTCTCTTTTTCTCCTCTGAAAAGTCAGATAATAATACTAATATAATAATTAATAACAGCAATAATAATAATAATAATAATAATAATAATAAAACTGCCCTGAAGGTAGCTTTAAGACTAAATGAGTCTACGGCCATGCCACCCTGAACAAGCCTGATCCTGTCTGATCTCGGAAGCTAAGCAGGGTTCGGCCTGGTTAGTACTTGGATGGGAAACCACCTAGGAAGACCAAGTGCTGTAGGCGTGACAAATAAAATAAATAAATAAAAGATTGTAAGCTGACAAGGTCCCTGCAATCTATGAGGTCGACCAAGGGTTGCCTTGCCAAAAAAAAAAAAAAAAAAGACTAAATGAAACAGCATACATAAAAGAGCTTTATAAGTCGAAAATTACTTTAACAAACTGTGATCTTAATAAAGAAACCAGTGAACCTTTCCAAAAATGATTTGCTAAACTAGGAGAATTCAGATGGCTACAAAGTCAGCAGTGACAGCCTCAAGAAATCCGAGGGTCTCTGAACCACATGCAGAAGTTTCTACACTCATTATGAGAGTCTCCCCAAGTAGGGGAGCCTTCCGGAGGAGGGGGAAGAAGGTAAGCCAGGAGGCGGAATGCCCTCCGGTGGGACAAATAGAGTAGTGAGGCATGAGCAAACATAATCAGATTAAGAAGCCTGTTGGAGAGCTTATCTACTTTCAGGAAATGTTTGACATGGTTACAATTAACAAGGCATGGTTACAATAAGCAGGGAAACCACACAAGAATAAAATGGAACAGAAACAGTAAGTCCTTCAGGTAGGTATTTTCACATGACCTTGGTCATCCCAGCCACGTATGAGAAGAAAGGTTTTACCTTTACTTTCATTTGTGGCTGAGTGGGTTTGGGAAAATTGCCAAGGTTCCATGCCTTTGGTAAGCACAAAAGCCCGGATTTAATGCCAGGGCATAAATTGTATCAGATATGCAGGCTGAAGAAAGTACAAGCAGTTAAGCACAATGCTTTGCTCTGAGCTTCCTGGCAATCAAGTCAAAGATAGAAAAATGAAGGTTTACATGGTTCTCACTGGCAATAATAATCAAATTAATAATAACAATACACACTAGTTCATCAGGAGACACAAACGTTTTTCATGATCCTTTGTCTCAAATTTCTTGCAAGGATCTTTATACGACATACACTGGGCAGCATAAGGGACAATATCTACCCCAATTGTTTTTATTGGCAAGGCAGGGGCAATAAGCAGGGGCAAAACACAGCCATGGTTCTATTAAGGCACATCCAGGGGGCTTGAGGACCACAGTCCAGGTTCCTGGGGACCCATCCCTGGCCCCCCACCTTTGACTAGAGCTCCCTCACCAGCTGCCATGTTAAGAATGGGCTGGAGGAGGTACGAGAGTGGTCATGGGAGGCATCCCAGAGACACCTAGAATTCAAAGCACTTACTTTGAGTGATATATCCACAGGAAAGAGCCTTCGGGGCTAAAAGCAAGTGAGAAATAAAAACATATCATGTTACTTTTAATTCTGAGAAAGGCCATTTTGCACCATTATCACTGAAGCCCTTGGCTGAGTTGAGAGCCTGAGCTTTAGCTACTCAAAGGCTTCCACCTCCCTTTGAGATATACACAATGATCTTAAGAGATCGAGAAGTTCCACTGCAGTCACTTCAGTATTACCCAGAACAGGGAGGTCTCTGGAGACTCTCAAATCTTAGTAAAACAAAACAAAACAAAACAAAACAAAATGAAACAACAATAAAACAAAACAGCAACAACAACAAAACACAAATGAGAGCCCTCTCATCGTCCAGGGTGGCTTCAATGAGAGAGAGAGGCTCCACAGATAGGTCCCTTCCTGCCACCTCCTCAGGAACACCACAGCCCAGCCAGCCCTCATCCAAGATTAATCTTCCCCCAGAACACTGAATGACGACTGCAGAGCCTAATGCCACATCCGGCTCAGAGCTTCAGAGATGGCAGCGTTCCTCATCCAGAAACTCTGACTAATACTTACCTTGCAGGGTTCCTATGAAAAGAGCTGGAGGGAACACAGAGCCCAGTTCCCGGTATGTGCAAACACTTAATCACTAGAAGCTGCTACCATCATCATCATCATCATCATCATCATCATCATCGCCATCATCATCATCACCATCACCACCATTATTTTATTATAACTTTTATGAAGTTTCTTCCAGTTCTAAAATTCTAAGATTTTTTTTTTCATCCAGCTGCAAATCAAACACTGTCCTGGATGGCAGTCTCTCAGGATGCTCTGCTGACAACAGTTCTATTTACCAACCAGTTGATGTGTTCGATTTAGTTATTTTAAAATCCTTTTTAGCTCAGCGCCACCCACCTGTCTAAGGTTAGTGCCCTCAGTTCACCTCAAACCATCACATGGCCAATTCACAAGGGTGCAAAGGATCTGCTGCCTTTTAAACCTCTTGCAGATATTCAAGTAGATTCCTCACATTGAAGAATAATGTGGCCACAATCTAGGTGCCAAACTATAGCCCTGAAGAGCAGCCAGAACCTGCTCTGGCTACCGGGCAAAGAGAGTGTGCCCAGTACCACAAAATGACCCTCTTTACGGGAGGCCAGGGCCAAGGCGCACATTTGGACCTTTAGCTCCCAATTATTTTAATTTTGTGAACCGCCTGAAATATGGAGGCACAACTCTGACTGCAATGCGAAACACCGAATTTATCCAATCAAGCATTCAGAGCTCTAAGGTTATCCACACAAGCATCTTAACTCAGGGCAGGACCCCCAAAGGGCACTTGTTCTTCTGTTGGGTTCTTCTGACTTCTAGAGCTCTTCCTTCTATCTGCTGAAATACCCTGTCCTAGCCTGCCTGCCCCCTGGAGCAGACGGTGATGGTGAGGTGATGATCATGATGGCAGGAACATTTATTGAGTGCTTATCAAGTCCCAGACATTGCCCCAACTACTTTATACACAATCACTCATTGAATCCTTCCAACAATCCTATGAAGCAGGTACTACTACTACCACCAATTTTAAAGATAGGGAAATGAGGAGCAGAGTGACTGGGTAAGTTGCCCAAGGTCACAGAGGAGGTAAGGGGTGGCATAGGACCAGCCCCAGGCAGCCTGGCTCGAGACTCCAGTGAGGGTATTTCCTCAGCCTTCAAATATCTAGGGGAGGCTTGGGGTCCCTGCACCCAACTCAGAGTCACCTTTTCTTCAGACTAGGTACCCCTAGTTTTGTTCAATTTGAAAGACCTGGTCTGTAGACCCTTTTAACTTGGTCATACTCGTCTTGTTTTTCTTCAAATGAGTTGTTGGAATGAAACAGACTAACACTCCAGAAGCAGTTAGATCTATGCAGCACCCTGGGGAAAAAAATAGCTCCCAAATTCTGGAGCAATTCTCCCTCTATTGAGGGACCTTGAGGTGCAGTTCCACACTCCAGAAGCAGTTAGATCTATGCAGCACCCTGAGGAAAAAAAATAGCTCCCAAATTCTGGAGCAATTCTCCTTCTATTGAGGGACCTTGAGGTGCAGTTCTTTTTCTTAGTGGCCAAGATGGTCCTCTTGGCTCATCAAATCTTAGAATTTAAGATCTGAAAGAAACATTCAAATGCCAATGCAAGTCATCATCATGAACTTGGGGGCCACTAAAACACTTCACCAAGACAATATTAATGGTGCTGAGACAGCTCTCGCTGCCTGGCCGAAAGGCTGAGCTGTACCAGTGCCTCTTCAGTCGAAGGCATCATGTGTTTTTGTAGCTGCTCCTGGAGACTTCTTTCTGTCAGAAGCCTCTCCAGCTGGACTCTCCGAGGCATTGTGGTTTCCAAAAGCACAGAAGCAGCTCATATGTTTGGGGTGAATCCACTGATGAATTTGAAAACTCAGAAATGTTTAATTCACTTTGCCGTCCAGTGTTAAAAGCAAAAAACAAAAAACAAAAAGTCTCAGCCAGGCACAAATGAATCACCAGCGACTCAAGGGTATTTTGCAGCAAAATTCAGCAACTTTGAGTTGCTCTTTTAAACTCTGCAAATATCTTAGGATTGCAAAAATCGGGGTGGATTTCTCATGGAATGTGTGTCTGACATTTCTTAAGGTCATTGCCATATCTGGCCATATAAATAATTTAAAATTACATTTTGGGCTTAATCTGACCTTACTGTTTCTGAATCTAGCCCGCCCAGAACTGGAAAGGTCAAAAAATTCAGACATTGGGAACATGGCAAGAAGAAAGATAATTAATTAGTACATGGCGCGCTAATGCTTCTAAAGATAGCTCAGGAGTCAGGGACGCAGGCCGGGTGGAATCTCTTCCTCATGGTGTCAGTGAATCCCACTTTCCATTCAACCTGGTGACTTGGCTAATAGCAGAAGGTTAGAGTAACTTTCGTCAACATCACGTCGTCATGTTTCATAATTACCTGTTGATATATTCCCAAAACACAACAATCACAGTGGAGACAACCAGCATTGACAGAATCACTTTTCCTTTGACATTCATTATTTTCTCCTGGAGAAAAAAAAAAAAAAACAAAGAAGAGGAGGGGTAAAAAAAAAAAAAAAGACTCGATAAATCCAGAGTGAGATATGGTTTTTAAGAAATGCTTCTACCTATATCTTGTCTAAAAGGAAAAGTTTATGAATATTTCACTAGCGCTAAGGAGTATCCTCTCCCTTAAATTGCATAGGACCGCAATGGCAAATTAGGCCAATCTGATGAATGGACAGGGCTGTCTGTGTTGGGAGGGATGCTACGGCCACTTTGGGGCTTGGAGGGAAAGTGTCTGGACAATCACAAGGTCTGCCATGGATGTGGGAGGGTGAGGGGGGAATGCGAGTGGTTCCCGTGGCCACCAGCTGCCAGCACGCAGCTCACCCACCTCTCGGCCCTGACTTCAGGGAACCACCCGTTCTCCAGCTTTGCTTCTCTTAGTACACTGACGATATGCCCCACGCTCGGAGCGGGGAACCACTCAGCCCTTTACGATCTAGGCTCACCTGCTTCCCACTCCCACCCAGCTTTCCCCCTCCACACCCACGGCAAACAAACAATCGGTGCCTAGTAGGTACACAGATATTTCTCACCTGCTGCATGAAATTGTGGTTGAGGGGGAAGGGGTGCTGGGTGCAGAATAGCAGCTTGGGAGAAGCACTTTAATTTGGGGGGTCGCGGGGGGAGGCCTCCCGGGGAGGTGACTAACGCTTCCCAAGGTGCAAAGACAGGACAGAAAGGGGGTGAAAAGCTCTGTGAGAAAGGATGAGAGTATTTCCGAACAGCAGCTATGACGGGGGAAAAAGCTTCCTGTGGTTTGGAAGGGGAAAAAATGCAAAAGACCTAACCGAGAAGAAAATAGTGAAGTTCCCTCACCTGAGTGGCTGGAATGAGGGTGTTCAGAGGGTGGGCGGGGCAGACAGAGCCTGGAAAGACCTGGAAAGGGAATGGCGGCACAAAAGCATCTCCAGTTGAGATATCACCTGGTCCGACTTCATTGAGAGACCCCACTGGGTGGGTGCTGGAGGGTGCTGGGTAGTGGGGAATGGATGTGAAGACAAGGGCAGACATTTGAGGTGAGGCAGCAGGCTGTTCTAACGACCAAAAAGAGGGGCCGGCCTGTGATGAAAAGGTGGCCGAGGAGACGAAGCGAAGTCAATGAATTCCTACACTTTGGAGAGAGAACTGGTAAGATGTGGCTGGTAACTCAGACATGAGGGATCGGGGAGAAGGAAGATGCAGAGTTTCTGCCTCAGCAGGTGGGTTGTAGCATCTCCTCAGATGGGCTGCAGGAGGAACAGGCGTGGGGGCGAGAATCACGAATGCCCTTTCAGATGAGTTCATCTCAAGGCGTGTGTGAACACCACCTGCAGGGAGATGACGAGTAGGCAAGTGGACATTCGAGTCTGACGTTCGTCAGAGAGATGGAGGGACGCGCAAGTGGAGGCGGCCTCCACGAGGACAGTATTTAAAGTGAAGGAAATGCGTTCCGTTACCTGGGGAGGGGATGGACAGAGAGAAAAAGGGAGGAAGAGAACCCTGGGCTGACGCCGGCATAGAGAGGGACAGAGGAGGCCATGAGGAGAGGCCGGGGAAGCAGGAAGAAAACCAAGTGCGCAGACGCCTGGAGGCCAAGAAGAGACAGTGGCCAGCTGTGCCCCTCATCAAATGTCACTGCCATAGTGAAGTCACTTCCCACCCCGGCCCTGACCGCCAGCCAGCGAAGCCACCTTTCTCCCCTCTGGCTCCTCGACCACCCTATTCTCTTCGCCGTGCATTTTCCTTGGGAGGCGGCTCACGCTAACCTGCTGAAATGCAGAATTATTCATGAGAACATCCACACGTGTATCTACAGGTTAGTCTGAGTTTCCCGAGAACGTCCTATTCAACCCTGAATCACCAGCGCCACTTAGAGTAGATGAGGCCCTTCATAAATGTTTGGCGCTGAATGATAAAAATTGAGAGGGACGCCATTAGGGGACAGGTTATTTTCTAAGTCTTTTCAAAGAGGGTCTTAGACGATTCCAGTCTTGGCTCTCCTGTGCTATCCCACTTGTTATAAATTCGGTTAAAGAAGAGAAAGAACAGGATTATCAGCCATGACAGCCAAGTCCCCCTAGCTTAGAAAGTGCTCTGTTTGTTTGGAAACAGAAACACCAGGGCTAGACTCAAGGTCAAAATTCGACCTCCAGCTTTCAGATTCGGATTAACTGATAGGCGGTATTCCATAGACCCGGAGAAGAGGGGCCCCTTCAAAGTGTCTGGCACGTATGGCCCAGGGCTCATGGCAAAGTCACAAAATGCAACTGCATGCAACTCAGCCCCACTGTTGGGAAAAGCTACTCGAAGTTTACATCAGGAACACTGGCATTAAGTGCTAGAAAAAGCCTGTGTTTGGGAGCAAATACAAACACAAGATCTGGATCGAGAGGGTGGCCACCTCTCCATGCTGACGTCTTTACTCCCAGAGGCGTGTGGACGGTGATGAAACACATGGGCTCCAGGGTGAGGTGGGGATTTGAGTCCAGCCCTGACACACACACGAAACTGGGTAACCCTGAACATGTGGCAGTCCCTCAGGGCATCAGCCAACATCTCCAAAAAGCTCTGAAAACCAAAAACCTTTTCGTAATTCTATTGGTATCATGGCCCTAACTGACATAAGGCTATTTATAATCTTTATCCTACTTAGCGAGACTGTTTAAACATTTCCTTGTATAAATATTGATGCATTTTATTATTCGGAGCTGAGGCACTGAGGGTATTACATAATATATGATATATAATCCACACCCAAATAATTCTGCATTTCAGCGTTATCTGGCTCTGGGGTTTCAGAAAAGGGTTTGTGGGCCTGTAATGAATCATATTAAATTGATTTCCTTGTCTTTAAAATGGGGATAAAGATGGCCATGATTGCAAGAGATAATGTCCGTAAAATACTTAGCATGATGCCCAGCGCCATGTAAACACACAAAAAATGCTCGTGCTTATTCCTGGAATCCATAAAACGGCTGTTGGGAGGACCCAGTGAGATAGCGCAGTGCCTGGTACTTAGTAAGAGCCGAAAACATATTTGAGGAGAAGGAATGAGGGTTGTGGAATAAGAACATGTTAAGCAATACAGCGCCGAGAGATGCAAATTAGGGACTCTAAAGGTTTATCCATCTGTTCCACGCTACAGCCTGAGAAAGAGCTCCTCGGAAGTGGGAAGAGACTTTGATTTCCTTTGATCAAAGCGGGGGGCCCAGCTACAACGCCTTGCCTTTGCTGAGAAGGTGACAGCACTGCCAGATGTGCCTCCCAGGCTTTATCAACCCCACCTGCTGAGGATCAAACGCAAAGTGTAAATAACGCGAAACGGTGAAACACGCAAACTCTCACGGTAAAGAACACTGAGGCGGACATCAGGGAGAACCAGAATGAGACACAGCCCCTAGCGCCCTCTCTATGCAAGTGTTGGTGACTTTTAAATTCGGAAATTAGCATCAGAGGCAACGCACGAAGCCCACTTCTTTCTAGACTTCACAGATCACTTGAATCGGCTGACTTTTTGCTGTGGCGAGCCGTCACTCTTGTTGGAGACTTAAAATTGGAAGCGGCTCAGATAAGCCAATATCACATCCTTCAGCAAAGCACTAGAAAGGGTTGTAGACATGCTTCCTGGAACTGGGAATGCACGTCTCCAGGGAAGGAAGGGTTGGCAGGGTGACCAATGCGTCTTTTAAAACATTTTAATTTTTTTTCCTCTGGACAAAAATGAGGCGTTAGGCAACCAGTGTCGCCTAAAAGTCCTTCTCTTACGTGTTTGTCTCTCAAGCTTTTCAACATTGTATAATTCTGAAACTCGGTGGTCGACGAGCTTAGCCATCGACTAGGAAACATGGGGTTGCTTCTAGATGCCCCATCTAAGGGGTAGAGCAAAGAATCAGGACCCTCGAATATTAGGGCTGCCTCACGTAGGAGTCATCTGGGTCCCACCCCTCTGAGGACTGTTTGCACTCAGCCACACCCAGTTACACCAGAGCCCTCCCGTCACAGGACTTCAGATTTCTCTCTGAATCCATCCCACCTCCCACTCCCAGAACTCAGCCCCTGCATCAGTTCCCAGATGAAACCCGTTCAGATTGTACTCAAAACCTGGAAGCATTTCGGAGGGCAGGGTCCCGCGGTCAGCCTGTCATTTCTCCGCCTTCCCTCCTCCTTCTCCACTTCTATGTCCCTGGAGTGTCAGACGGACTTTTCCATGTGGCTCATAAATTAATTCTTCCTTACCTACCCCCAACCTGTCCCACACAGAACAACACATGCACGCGTGCGTGCGCGCGCGCGAGCACACACACACACACACGCACACACGCACGCACCCTTTCAGACTGGGCTAAATGTAGGTTTGCCTTCCAAACAGAAATCCTCTCTGAAAGGAATTCCAGTGGACCTTATTTTCCCCATCTTATGTCAGGGGAAAGGTGACCATCTCGGCTGAATAACAGAGCACTCAGGAGCCCTGGAAAAGCCATTATCTCCAAGAGCTGGAATCTACAGGGGAAAAGCAGTGGCAGAGGAAACCAGACCTTCCGGCAGCTAAAGAATCCTCCTCTGCCCGTGGCTCCTCCCTGGGCCCCTGGAACCCACTCCCTGGCCCCTAGAGCTGCCCCTGCCCGCTCAAGCCTCAGTGGCTGCTGGACGAATGGGATGGGCATTAAAGACCTTGGACAAAGCTATCTTTGGTCCTCCATGCCCTCCCCTGTAATGTCTAGATCCAGCATTCCAGGCAGAAAGGAGGCCAGTGCTGACTCTTAAATCACCAGTCCTAGATGTAGGCCTCAGGCCACTTCTCAGACTCTCTGAGCCTCCACTGACGTACACAAAATGGAGCTTCAGGCACCCTCCTCCAGGGGTCTTGAAAGGACAAAAGGAGACTGTGTGTCTGAAGCACATTGTGCTCGTGGTCAGGAAATACTCCACAAGCGGCAGCCACAATGATGATAATGCATTTTAATGTGTGGCACTGAAGGCAGAGCTGCGGCTTCATCTGAGAGGTGTCTCAATTCCCCCGAGGCAGCACCACACGGAAGCTCAAGTGCCAGCCCTCCCCCACCCCTACTGTGACTACGGTGACAGTCAGCTCCCCTGCCCATTCCCCCAGCTCAGGGCCCCACTGCTCGTGTTGGGCATGGAAGGAAGGTGCGGCTGATACTTGCAGCAGATGGGGTCCTGCACAGGGCCCTGCTCCCACCCAGGGCCCCGGCTCAGACATTGTAGACCAGGATCCTGAGTTTGTCTGGCCTTAATCTCCCCCATTGTCCCTGAAACAAGTCCTTTGGGCTTAACTTTCCACTACAGGTTCTCCTGATTTGACCCAGAACGAGAAATCCCCTAAAAGGCTGGAAGTCTCATTCTATGAGGGCAGCTCACTTAGCCACCGGGAGCTCAACTTGCCAACTTGCGGCAGTGGCTGAGGGATTCCTCGAAGTGATGATTAAATGAGATTACTAACCAACAACCAACATGAGTGGAGCGAGAGGCCAACTCACCTAGAAGCTAATGAAGCCCGGTGTCAGACTGGCGTAGGGAGCATTCCCTTTCCTGGGGCAGTCACTCCAGCCTCTGTGCCTGGCTGCAGGTAGGACTAAGGGACTGATCCTATTATCTGCACTCTCACCTGGGCCTCAGTAATAACCTGTCCCAGGTGGACCTTGTACCTCCCACTCTGATTGTAAGAAGGGGCTGACTTAGATATGGCTCTCTGATTCCGGGTCATAGGTCATGTTCACAGCCACCTTGTGCCCACATACCCTACCCCCACCCCACCCCACCCAGGATCAAAAAGCTGAGTTCTCCTATACTTTGGCCAAAGCCACCTGAGCAAGAAACTGCAAAAAGATTGATAGATGCGATGTCACCAATAAGTTGTGAAACTGAAAGAAACTTTTCTAAACTCTCAGTAATAAAAAGCAATCATTGCTAGAGGCAAAACAGACTTTTCTTTCTTTTGTATCTATTAAAAATGACCCTACAAAAATCATTGTCAGATAAAGAGGCAATCCAAAAGTATGCAGCCAAAATATGACAGGTGCATTAGACACCTAAGTATTACTAATCACTTTTATGCTATTTTCACATCATTCGATTATGATATTGTTTTCGGAGTTTTGACCTATTTTGAAGTATTTGTCCGTTTGTGTTATTTGTTGTGATATCTCTTCTCATATTCTAAATACAGCTGACCCTTGAACAATGCAGAGGTTAGGAGTGCTGACGCCATGCAGTTGAAAATCTGCATATAACTTTTGACTCCCCCAAATCTTCACTACTCATAGCCTACTATTGATGGGAATCTCACAGATACAGAAATAGCCAATTAACACATATTTGCATTATGTATTATATACTGAATCCTTACAATAAAGTAAGCAAGAGAAAAGAAAATGTTACTGAGAAAATCATAAGGAAAATACATCTACAGTAGTTATTGGAAAAAATCCATGTATAAGAGGACCTGCACAATTCAAACCCATGCTGTTCAAGGTCAACTGTGTTTCCTTCCATGCCTGATGTTGTCTTCACAACTTTGCATTCTTTTTCTAAAGAGGGCCCTGAAAATTGAATAAGCTTCAGGGCCTGCAACACTTGGATGCTCCCCAACTGAACCAGGCCAGACCCTGGGTTGAACACTTTACCAGCAGTTTCTCAGGTTAAGCCCTGTGAAGTCACTCTAGAATTATCCCTATTGTACAGATATGAAAACGGAGGCTCAGAGAGGTTAAGTAACTTGCCCAATGTCACACAGCATAAAGCGGCAGAGAGCCGGGATTCGGGTCCAGGGTGTTGGCCGTGCTCACCGTTTTCATCACTCTGTTCTCAGGAAACACAAGGGCGCGCCCATGGACTGACCACCCAGGTCTTTGGCTCCTCTGCCATTCCTGGGCACCTCCTGTGTGCCTGGGGCCCAGTCTCCCTCCCTCACTGCTCCTCACCATGGTCAGTGTGACAGCCTGCGGAAACTTCGCTTTAGCGGAGGCTGAGATCACAGGGCTCACTGGGAAGCGGGTGCTGGGGGTGGATCCCAGGCCCCACCCATGGCACGGGGCTGGTGCTGGGGGTGAGGAGGAAGAAGGCTGCTTGAGCCTAAACCCTCACTACATTGGTGGGCATTGCAGGGAAAAGCTCCCCATTGGAAAAAACGTGGTACAATTCATGGAAAAAAAAAAAAAAAGGCGTGTGGAAGGCTGGTTTCAGTTACGTTTTTCACTATAAAGGGTCAGAGTAAACACAGACAGAGGGAACTGAGAGGCAAGTCTCAGACTTAGCACAGGGCTACCTGCCACTCCAGCCATCACAAACCGATGTTCTCTGCGGTGCACCCCACTATGCCTTTTCTTGGACCCCCTGTAGGAGACCTGAAACCTTAATCCAGCCAGCTTTGCCTTACTGCCTGGCCCTGACATAATAGTGCAAGGGTTTTTCCAAAAGGAACAAGGTAAGGTAGACGAAGGGTCGACACCGGCCCAAGAGGGCTCTGAATCCACCCACAAGGGAGCTGCCCTGGGCACCAAGACTCAACCTCCTGGCCCTGCACTCTCACTCTGAATCCTTCAGAGAAAAGCCCAGGCCGCGGCCACACAAGCCAGAGCCCGGTGAGGTCCTGCCAGGGGGAGCAAAATTGAGCAGAACTTATAGCGAGGTCTCTGAGCCAGCATCCCACCAGCTCCCACTTCTAGATCCCATGCCAGGGAGAGAAGAACTTGGTCTTCTTCCAGAAGTACTAAGAGGGACCAACAAGAGGTTGTGGGGGCGGGGGGAAGTGAGGTTCCTCCCCCAGGCGGATCCACGCTGCAGCGGGTCGCAATTCCCCATGACCCCAACAAGGCAGAAATAAATAATTTCAGCATTTCACATACCTCATCCTCTGCTTCTCTCTCCCCAGAGTAAAAGGCAAAACAAAGTTGTACTGAGCTCCGTTCGGGGCAGGAGGAGGCAGGGCTGGGAGGAAGGGAAGATGCTGCCGTCCAACCCCTGTCAAAAGAATAAACAGCTGTTTCAGGAAGGAGGGGGGTAGACAAATCCCGCAGCTGCTAGAGGCTTTGTTCCTTGCTGGCCCGGGGAAATGGGCTGTTTATCAGGCCTGTTGACTCAGACCTACATGCCAAGGTAGCATACTTCTCTTTATGTGACCATGACCGGCCCGGCCTCCCTCGCCGAGTGAAACTACAGGTCCAAACTGGGCCCGTTGCTGGAGGAGGGAAGGCCAGCACCCCTGAGAGGCTGCCCATGTCACTCACTCCTTGGCAAAAACGGGAACTGATCTGAACCTAAACCACCCCAGGAACAGCCGATGGAGAAATACAAAAAACATAATAAAAATAAAAATTTAAATGCAGAGGGGTGGATGAAGGAGGGAGTCCTCAAGACCCTCGTGGAAATGCTCTCTAAACGTTCCCTTGAGTGAAGCCTGTCCCCTACACCCCTCAGGCTCTGTGAGTTGTTGTGTGGGAACACTATTTTTAGGAAATGTTATAAAATCTCCCGCAATGCAAACCAAGCTGTAAGAACTGTAAAAGGTCATAAGGCCTGGCCCTACTCTTTGGCTGAATAACGCTTAACCCTTCCCACACCCACTTCCTGCTCCTAAAATAGAATTTTCAAGTTGGAAGGACATTTTCAAGCATCAAAAACAGCTAAAGCTTTTTCAAAAAAACACATGATGTCATTCTCAGAGCTTCAGTACGTGAAACGGAGGACACCCAAAGCTTTGGCTGAAGCAAAGAAACGAAACTCGAAGCCCCCTCACTCGAGCCCTCCTAAATGGCCCCCAGACGCCTCCCAGAAATAGCACCTGGAAACCCCAGACGAAGGAGAGGGGACCAAAATCTGACAGAGAAGCCAAGGATTGCCCCCCACCCCCAAAGGCTGCCGAATCCAGCCCCTTCCTCCTGTTCGCCAAAGGGAATTCCACAGCCCCCTCTTCTGGGGGCATGAGCTAGCCGACTACAATCTTTAGGGTCTGGAAGTTCTTCCTAACACCTTCCTTACATCCTTCCCGCTGGGATCTACCGAAGCTGATCAAACGCACACCCCACTCCAGTCATCCCACTCCAGGTCTCGATCCCCCAAATACACACGTAAGTTCATCAAAAGACGTAGCACCTCACAGCATACCCCAAACTGGAAACGACCCCAGGTCCCTCATCAGAGCAGATCCGCAGTGATCCAGCATGGTTGGGATTCTACACACAGCGGTGAGAATGCACCAGCCACAGCTACTAACATTGTCAGGACGAGTTTCACACACCTGTACAGTACTGAGTGAAAGGAGATTTGAACGATTCCATTTATTCAAGTTCAAAAACAGGCAACCCCCATCTGTGGTGCTAGAAGCCAGGCTGGGGGTGGTAAAGAAAAGGAGGGGGCCCGGGGGCCCTGAGGGGCTGGTCACGTTGTTCCCTGAGCCGAGCGAGTAGTGTGAAAACCCATCACGAAATGTGCCTTTTCTGTGTGTATGTTAAGAACGAAAACAACCAGGACCCTTCCAGCTGGAAGCTGTCTTCTCTTGGCCGCTCTGTCTTCCCCTGACACTGGCTCGAGGGCCTCAGGACCGTGGACAGCCATGTCCGTTCCTCCTCTTGAAGTTCCCTGCCCCAATACCAAGCACCACCAAGCACCTCACTAAGGGTTCAGAGAAGATCTGTTGCATTAAATACCCCAGGAGTCTGGACCCATGGTCAATGGGGAGAGGGCAGATAACAATTTGAAAGCTAAGGAGCTGGGCTGAGATAAACTGGTCCTTTTGACAAGCAAGCACCAATCAGGGGTAACATGGGCTCCCCACTTTACAGTTCATGAAGCAGCCTCTCCTTTATGTTAGCAATCTTCACTCACAGGTGGTCATGGAAAAGAGGAGGCTCCAGAAGCCTCAGTGACTTGCTCAAGGTCGCCCGCTGGTAGGTCCAGTGCTGCTCTTCTGGCTGGGTTTGAGTCCCGGCTCTGCCCCTTATGCCTTGCAATCCTGGGCAACCTACCTACCTTTTCTGTGCCTTCGTTTCCACATCTGCAGCCAGGTGCCAGGTTGCCATAGGTGGAGGAATGAACCTCAGGTGAGGAAGTGATGTCAGTAAATGTAAGGACCTCTTTCTTTCTTTCTTTCTAGCATGGGAAGGGTTGGAGAGAGGGTATCAGCTGGAGAAGCCCTGGAGAAAAAGGGACATGCTCCGGGGTACACCACTGACAGCGAGAACCCCTTGACGAGACAGAGCCGAAGAGAGAAAAGCTTTGGAGATTCAGGGGAGACGACAGGTGCTGGAGAGCAGCCCTGCTGGGGAGGTTGGAAGGGTCCCCCTAAGGGACGCAGAAGGTGCTTCTCCTTAGGCAAAAGGGAAGAAAACCGGATGGGAGGGTTGGTGTTAAGTTTGGGAGACAAAGTGAGAAATCGATAAGTTCCCATTCAGAGCAGCTGAAGTATGGAGAACAAGGTGGGCGGGGTGTGCACAGGCAACAGAGAAACTGTGGAATCGCCAGCCACGCGGATCATCTTGTCACCGGGAGCCTTGAATCCCCATTGCGCTGAAGAGTCTGCTTTTCATCCTGAAGGCGCTGGAGAATCCCGCAGTGAAGTTAAGCCAAGGGCATTACATGATTCGCTCTTTAGAAGAATCATATGGCTGCAGGGTGAGGGTAAAGAAAAATCTCCCAACAGGGAGACCGGCTGGGAGGCTGCTGGCCGAGGTCCAGGCAAGAGAGTGAAGACGTAAACCAATGGACCGAGCTGGAGGACAAAGCAGCGGCCATTTGAAACCCACAAAGGAAGGGCATCTTGAGACCTCCGGTCACAGGAAATCGATCCTCTTTCAAAGTGGGCAAAGGTGTCACCTTCTTGGTGAGTCCTTCTTGGATTTAAAACGACTTTGTTTTTGTACTTCTCTTCTTTTAAATGTCTTTCTCCTTCTACCAGAACGTCAATGCTATGGGCAGATACTTTTGTATGTTTTGTACCATGTGAAAGTGCCTCTTATAGCACTCGGCACTCGTACATCTTTCTAGGCTAAATGCACAGCTAGTACAGCGCTTGGCACCTAAGCGTTCAATAAATGTTAACTATTTCTGAAATGGATGGTAATAATAATATCAACAAGAAGAGTGAGCAATGGATGAAGGGAGTGAGTCGGGCGCAAGTCAGGCCCAGTGCTACTCAGAGTGTGGACCATGAATGATCAGCAGCGTCAGCATCATCTGGAAGAAAGTTAGAAATGCAGATCAAGCCCACCCGGCCCCGACCAACTGGGACACCCAGGGTGGGCTCCGGAATCTGTCTCTCATGGTCTCCAGGTGATCCTGACACTTCCTAAGGTTTTCCACGCTCTGCTCCGAGCTGGTCCCCAGGTTTCTGGTTCGAGTCGGAGACTAGATGGTGTTGCCACTGACTGGAAAATGGATTGGAAGGGGTCAGGAGGGAGGGGGCGGCTGAGCTTCCTTCTAGATGTGTTGAGTTTGAAGAAACTGCGGGAGCCGGCTCAGCAACTGTGTCTTTGACGAAAAGCCTGGGTGGAGGCTGGTTTGGGAGTTGCCAGCAACTGAGGTGTTGCAGGCAAGAGAGGGCAGGTCTGAGGTGTGCTGACAGAGGGCAAGGTGGAGCATCCTTAATGGGCACCGCCCTAAAACCTGAGGGAGGGCCATCGCCAAGAGCCCGGAGAACCAGGAACAAAAGAGAAAATGGCAAACACTGCTGACTCGGACGTGGGGGCTGCGAGGCAGAGTCGGGAAGGCTGCACTTGAAGTGCAGACTAGAGTCTCAGCTCGCCTACCAGCCCTTGGCGCTCTCATCTGACCACCTTTGGCCTCGCTTGCCTCTGGAAAACAGGAGGCCTGGACGAGAGTGCAGCCGTCTGGGAACCCCAAGGCATGCCAGGCAAACAGAGGTGTGGCCACACACAGAGGTTCTGTTCCCAGCCTGCCGCTGACTCCAGGCAGCACCGTGTGACACCTGGTTGACTCCCACCTCACCCGCCTCTGTCAAGCGGGCAGGTTGGGCTTGCGTCTCTTACTCTACATTGTATCCCAGTTCTGGGGGTCACGGTAGCCCTCATGCCCAGCCACAGACTCCAGGCGAAGACACCTCTTCCTAGGAGCAGTTGGCGCTTTCAAAGCCGCCAGCCAAAAGGTGTGCCTAATCCCAAGCTTATCTGAATAGTGTCAGAACCTCTGACAGTTTCGAAGAAGCCTTCTCTTCCCTCGGCCACCGTGGGAGACCCTGGAACCAGCCAGGGGCACTTCTCGGGGGCAGAAGTAAAAGTTTTCAGACTGTTTCCTGCCCCGCTGTCCCAGAGGCAGATACCGGCTCCCAGGGGGCTAGCTCCCCCAGGCCCAGCCTTGTTGCTGCTATGTGCTCCTCTGGCTGGCTGATGGCACAGACTTCTAGGTGACATGGAGGAAAACGAGTCCCCCACCTCCACAGGAGTTCAAGTCCCTTGGGTTTTTACAGCAGTGGTAACCTGTCAACGCTCCTTCTGTCCCACTAGCCCAGCCTCCCTCCCAAGCGTGGTCATCGTCCCACTCACAGCATCCATGCCAGACACTCCGCTTAAAGCCTTCTGAGTAATGAGGGACTCACAACCGCCTGGGCCTCCTGTTTCATCTCGGGACGATTCTGATTGTAAAACATCCTTTTCAGTGTGGAGCTGAGCTCGGCTTCCCAGAATGTCACTCGTAGTGAAGGCTACCATTCATTTGCATACGTCATCTCATCCGACCCTTATCAGAGGGTAAATAACAGAGACCAGATCACAGGGTGCCCAGCAGCACTGCAGCCCTGCTGGGATTATAGTGGAGCCAGCTACATAGTCCCAACCTGCCAGCCCAGGGGCAGTGGCAGAGATGGCAACTCACTGGATCCATCCACAGTTAGGGGACTGACTGGTGAGTGCGGTGGGCCAGAAATTCAGGGCGGGGGGGATGCAGTTAAACGCAATGACAGACACGTGATTTAACTGGCTGATGGGAGGGAGGCAGGGAGGCAGAGCTCA